AAAAAAAAAAAAAAAAAAAAGAATATGGCAATAAATAAATGCAGGCTTTTACACATTACTTTACACATTTCTCCACTTACTCAGAAGCCGATAAACCCTAATTGTGAATTCAGATCTCTCTCCTGAACTACACAGTTCCATATTTCTAACTGCCTGGATGTCCCCACACATCACAAACTCAGTATTTCCTAAAATGAATTAACTGCCTTATTCCTCACATCCAGTTAAAGCAATTTTCCATCTCATTATGAGGTATACCTGGTCATACCATTAGTGCAGAAATCTGATAGTCACAATACACGTTTGTTTTCACCTTTTATCATCTAAATACCTACAACTAAATCCTTTCAAATTCACCTTCAAAGTTTAAAAAAATCTATTTGATCCCATCCATTTTCAGTGTCTCAGTTTAGATCCTAGACCCTCATTATCACTGGTTCACATTATTGCCATAGTGTCTCCCCAAATCACTCTTGGTATTCTTCAACCCATCTTCTATTCTGGCTATAATCACCTTAACTAATACTCAAATATGACTATATAACTTCCCTGCTTAAAAACCTTAATGGTTTCTCATTCTGTTAGGATAAAGTTTAAACTCTTCAGCATGGAGAAATAAAGAAAGAAACATATTTCAGCTCTGGCCTCTGTTTACCTTTCTAATGTCATCTCCCAACATTCCCACCCCCCCTCCACACACAGTAACTCTAGGCGCTAGTCATATTCAACAATGGATTCCAATCTGCCTCTGTGTCCTTGAATGACCTTCTATAGCACAACCAAGTGATTAAGATTTGGGCTTTGAGAGAAAAAGAGTTAGAATCAATCCTAGTTCTACCACTTAATAACTATGACTTTGGGCAAGTAACTTAACTTCCCTAAACCTGTTTCCTTATATATAAAATGAGGATCACCTTAGCATCTACCTTATCAAGTTGTTTTAAGAATTAAATTAGATAATGCGCATAAAGTATACAGCATGTAATAAGCACTTAATGTTAGCCACTGCTATTATTTCCTTAAGATCAAAACAAGAGCAAAACTGGTTTAAGATCTTCTAACTGCTAATTCAATATTCTGTCCTACAATATGATGCCTCCCTAAATTTAAAATCTTAGTCTGGCTTACTTCCAGCTATTCTTTCAGTGGTTGAATTATTTCACCTTCCCACTTCCCTACTAATCATCTGCTTGTGGGGCCCAAAAAATAAAAATAAATTATTTAATTAAATTTTAAAATTAGAAAGGTAAATTACATGCAGTAAAAAGTCACTTGTATATTTCTTAAGAAAATTTCAAAAACAATCTTTAAAATTACTACATTTTTGGCCTTTCCCCTTTAATATAGGTTGTGAACTATACAAAAAAGCATCCTAAAATTTTGAACAAAGGCAGGATAATAGTGATCTATAACCACTGGTTAACTGCAAAGTATATTTCAAAATGAATTATATAATTTAATGAGTGCCTTGATAATTCATTATGTGCTTCAAAAATATTATAATCATGTACATTTAAAGACTCATGGCCATCAATACCTTTAATGTTTGCAGGAGTTTCAGTTATTCTGGGAACAGCAAAAAAATTACATAGGCATCATTTGCAAAATATGAATTTAAATCCCTTTAGGATATAAAATTAGAAACATACCTTGATGAACTGAGGTGTAGCTAATCTGACAGTAGCTACAAAACAAACTCTGTCTTCATAAGAAGGCCTGTGTGTGCGTTGTATAGTTCCTTCAAAACCATTGTGTGCTGAAGTGGATACTAAAAAACAATAAGGAAATATGTATCATCACTTACTCCAGTAAAACTCATTATTATTGATATTCAAACATGTATGTCTTTGAAAGCCTGAAAGAATACCAGATTAAAATGCATTGTAAGAAAAGCATTTTAACTTACCACTGTTTAAAGATTTGAAATTTCCTATAAATTTCACATATTCATAGGTAGATGGCTCCTTTGGGTCTATTGTTCCTCGAAGCATATGACAACAGAATTCTAACTGATTTTTTGCTGAAGTGGGAGAAAATATATATTTGTGATTTAACATGAGTGATATATCACATGAAAAGATTATAAAAGTTGTACAAGTTTACAATATTTTCTCCAATAGCAGTCCTCAATTACATTTTTATTTAGTCCATAAAAGTAGAGTACCTCTACTAGGAGATGATCTCCTTAATAGAGAAAACAGATGACCTATCCTTAACAGAAAAAACAGATCTTCTGATATAGGCAACTCCAGATTTCCCCATTTTTATCTGTCCTTCCTTCTCATTCTTTACTCTAATTTCAAAGGATGGTTTTGCTTCCTGATGTCTACCATGAACACTCTTTCCTATCTTCTTTAGAACCAGGGCCACACCACTGTTAGTCATTCCTTTAGCACCCACCCATTCTCTTCCCTTCTTTCTAATTGTAAATCTGCTCAGGTCTTCCTATCTCAAACAAACAAAGGATTTTTTCATGCTACTCTTTTTAGTATCATAGACACTGCCTTCCATTTCATTACATGCTCTAGGTTCCATTAACATATTCATTTTCCTTAACTTCACGCATGGTGGCTTTCATCTTCATACCTCTATAGAAAATGCTTTTCTAAAGACTGAAGTAGTCCGCCCCCTTATTCACAGGAGATACGTTCCAAAACCCCAGTGGATGCCTGAAACCACAGATAGTACCAAATCCTCTAAGTACTATGATTTCTGCATACATACATACCTCTGATAAAGTTTAATTTACAAATTAGGCACAGTAAGAGATTAACAATAATAAAAGAATAGTTACAGGTATACCTCATTTTATTGTACTTTGTGTTATTGCACTTCACAGATACTGAGTTTTTTACAAATTGAAGGCAAGACCTACCACCAGCAAAAAGATTAAGACTTGCTTTATTGCGGTGGTCTGGAACAGAACTCATAATATCTTTGAGGTATGCTTGCATAACAATATACTGTAATAAGTTATGTGAATGTGGTCTCTCTCTCAAAATATCTTACTGTACTGTATGTAGAGAAGGGGTATGGCTAGACAGAGAGATGACTCACATCCTGTGTGGTACAGAGCAGGACAGCATGAAATTTCATCACACTATTAAGAATGGCATGCAGCCCGGCCAGGCGTGGCTCAGTGGTTAAGCATCGACCTAGGATCCAGGCGATCAGGGTTCGATTCCCAGACAGGGCACATGCCCGGGTTGCGGGCTGCAGCCGGTCAATGACTCTCTCATCATTGATGTTTCTATCTCTCTCTCTCCCTCTCCTCTCCTCTCTCTGAAATCAATAAAGATATATTAAAAGAAAAAAAAAAGCAAAGAATGGCATGCAATTTAAAATTTATGAATTGTTTATTTTTGAAATTTTCCATTTAATATTTCAGAACGAGGTTGACTGCAAGTAACTGAAACTGTGGAAAGTGAAATGCAGATAAGGGGGTACTACTGTGCTGTTAACTTCAATGGGCTTCCCTCACTGTTACTACCTTTTTTTTTTTTTAATTGATTTGAGAGAGGATAGGAGAGCGAAAAACATCAATGAGAGAAGCATCAACTGTCTCCTGCACGCCCCCTACTGGGGATAGAGCCAGCAACCCAGGCAGGTGCCCCAACTGGGAATCAAACCTGCTACCTCTCAGTGCGTGGGATGAAGCTCAGCCAACTGAGCCACACTGGCCAGGTTACTACATCTTCTTAAAACTCACACTTTTTCATTCCCATAGCCTAAAACTTACCTTACTACCTTATTGAATATTTCTTTGCTAATCGGTCTTCAAATTGTGAGCATTCACAAACGTTGTTTTAATCTTGATCTACTACTATCCTTTATAAATTTTTCAGCATTTAGTAAACTTATTTACTCCTAAATCTCTCCCTCCAACTCTAACATTTTGTATAAGATAAAGTCTCAGGTCACTATGTGCTTTCAGGACATTTCTACCCAACTGTCCCATCAATAACTCAAACTAAAAATATTTCAAAGTGAATTTATGCCTCTCTCTTTCTAAGCCAGCTATCCTTCCCCTTGGTCTATGTATGCCTATCTCCCAAGACAGAAACCATATCAACTGGTCTCTTCTCTTTCACAAGCTTCCAAACTAATCTGTCACCTGCTCTTTATTTCACCAAAAAAGCTCTCATAAGTTATTTTTTCCAAATGAGCATACAGTACCACCAATTTAGTATTGGTGCAAATCACCTTGCATCTAGGTAACTGCAAAAATGTATCCTATATGCCTCCATACTCTTGCCACTAGGATTTAACTTTCCATACTACTGTTAGACTAATGTTACTCTCTCAGTTAACTCAGCACTCAAGGACTCGTAACACCTCTCTTCATTCATAGCATCAAACTCATATTCTTCTGTCATTATCATGAATGACTTTATCATCTACCTCCACAAGGTTCAAAATCTAACCAACTTCTCCCTAAAACCTTCTCCACTGATCATCTTTAGCCACCTGGTCTTCTGTGCGCTAACACCAAGTCCTACTGAGTTTATCTACTCAAGACTCACATACAGGCTTTCTTCTCCATCCTTACTTCTATTACTAGGATTCTGTAGTTGTTATCTCCAGTCTAATCCTTTTCAAAATTTTCCACCTGAAATATATTTTCCAAACCAAAAAACCACCCTTCCACTGGCTCCTCACTATGTAAAAAATAAAAGTCAAACACATCAGGATGAAAGATTAAGCCCTATTTCCTTCTCTAGACACAAACCACACCACCGGTACCACCTCACCTTCATTATGGCTCAAATGACCTACGTGCAGAATCCTGAATTTTCAAAGCAATTTCCCCTCTGTTTTAAAGCATGTTTTAATCTTCTGGCCTACAACACTTTTTTTTCCTGGGGAAATAACATTTTGATTATCAGTTGTTTAACTAGGGGGTCAGTAAATCATTTAATTAAGGCTTTTCTCTATCAAAAAGTATTGTTGCCATCAGCCCTTTGATCTTAGAAGCAGAAGCCCAATGTTTGTCTTTCTGCCAAAGGCTTTCATTCAGTTCTCCAGCCAACTGCCTTTACCAAAGTCTCTAAAGTGGACTCCTCCTATGTCAACTTCTATGTCCCAGGGTTCCACCATTCTAATTCTTCTCTCCTTGGCTCTACATATTCACCTCAAGCAACGTAATTCAATCCATGACTTCAAGTACTATTTATTTTTTATTTAAATCTTCACCCAAGGATATTTTTTCCATTGCTTTTCAGAGAGAATGGAAGGGGGAGAGAGAGAAAGAAACATCGATGTGAGAGAGACACATCGACTGGTTGCCTCCCGCACACTCCCTGACTGGGGCAGGGACTGAGCCTGCAGTGGAGGTACATGCCTTCCGCTGGAATCAAACCCAGGACCCTTCAGTCCTTGGGCAGATGCTCTAACCACTGAGACAGATCAGCTAGAGCCAATACTATTTATAGGCATATAACTGACCTCTACATAATTATATCCAGCCCAAATCTTTCTCCTAGGCGAAAAACTGGAGTGGTCTATTGGTAATGTCGTAAGAACTTGATTTTTAAACAATTATAAATAGGCTTTAAACAGACTTTCCTGGTCTCTAGTTCTTCTCATCTCCTTCTGATAGGCTACCTACTCACAGCAAAGAGATACATTCATACATACTCACACATATATGTGTGTGTGTGTATGTGTATCTCAATTCTTGGACAGTTAGTTTTCTATAGAATTTGAAGGTTCAAAATACCAAGAACTTTTCAAATGATTAATATTGGTATTATCAAGAAACGTAAAAATCCAAAAATAATATCAATATTATCAGAAAAGTCAAAGTTTAAAAATCATGAAAAAAATCTAATAACTAATGACCAAATATAGTGCTGTAATAACTTCAGATTTTATATAGAGCATAATTTAGTGAAGAAAATCAGGTATTCTGGTCAAATTAATTTATCCAATGAATCTAGGAGAAATGTCTGATTATGCCACAGTATTTCTTACTTCTCAAAGACAGAAACTATTTTTCACTGTTCTCGGCACTTCTATGATATTGCACAAGTGCCTGGCACATAATATATATCCAAAAGCCCTGGCCAGTGTGGCTAATGGTTAGAGAGTCAGCCCTCGAACTGAAGGGTCGCAGGGATTACCAGTCAGGGCACGTGCCTGGGTTGCAGGTTTGATCTCTAGCACTGGAGGCAACCAATCGATGTGTCTCTCTCACATCGATCTCTCTCTCTCCCCCACTTCCCCCCTTCCCCCCCCTAAAAATCAATGAAAAGAATATCCTCAGGTGAGAATTACCAAAAAAAAAAAAAGATATATCCAATAAATGCTTTTTTAATTAGTAAAGCAAATAATTTTCTTTACTAATTCTTAAAAAAAAGAAGTTATTTTTGTCCAACTGTTTGATTATAGTGAAAATGAGAACATTTAATTTTCCCATTACATAAGATTTTATTTTAAAATTAATAAAAATACACTGCAAAGTTCCATTTTTGTGTAAAATATAGTTTTATGGCATAACTATTATAACCAAAAAGATGGGATTTCATTATATTCTAGAACAGAGTTCAGACTTTAAAATACAGTCATAGTTCCATATTATAAATCTGTATTTTAATTTAAAAAGGATCTAATGAGGTTTATGGAATGATGCTACATGTTAATTTCGTTAAACATGTCTGTGTTTGTCACGAGGTTGCAAAAGCAAAGTACAACATGACTAAATATATTTAGCTTTTTGCTTAACAGCTACTACTTACATTTTAAATATTCAGGAGTTAATGAGTCACTTTCCAGCAGATGGGTAGAGAGTATTTTATAGACCTCTGAATGTTCCCCCTCTGGGATAAAATTAAATATACTTTGATCCACAAGATCAGACTGAAAAAGAAATTCAAGAAAATAAAAAAACTTTATTGATTCAAGGGACATGTATTTTTAAAGTATATAATCACCCTTAAAACATCGGTAAGCATATGATTAACTTTTGATTATTTGTAAAAACTGACAAACATCAAGTTACAGAGCAGAACTCAAAAACCAAGAGAAGCTGGAAGACAGTTAACATGACCTCCATGCCTCTGATACTAGTGTCTTCATCAGATCTATGATCAATATGACCTTGAAAGTCTGATAAATTATTTGCAAAGGTGAGTTTCACCAAATTTGAACATTTAAAATATAACAGGACTAGGAAAGTTGATTAGAGAAATCTTTGGCTATAAGACACAGCCCTACCATACATATATCCAAACCTCTGGTAATTTATGGTGGTATTTACTACAACAAAGGACCAAAAGACTAGCCATTGGCTAAATGAAGAGATTTGACTCTGGTGCCACTTCCATTTGTCCTTTCTTTATTTCATCTTTTTCTGCCATCTACCTTGTATGCCTATTGTCCAAAAGCCCTGCTGTTAGCTACCCCTCACCCCAAAATAGAAGTAGTATGTCAAACATTATCATTCTTGTTCAAATATGGCTTTAATTATGATTCATTCATCAACCGTAATCTGACAAACACCAGGCTGCCCACAATGTTCCATAGCTATGGAATCAAATATGAGTAAGACAGTTTCTATCCTAAGAACCACTGACAACAAAACAAATCAATGACTTCACATTTTCTACCAAATTCAATCTTTTCTACTTGGTTCTCTAAATTTTCAAACTGCTCTGTGGAATCCTGGGGAAACTGAACTGGTGTCTTAAGGACTGTGGAGGTAAGGGTAGAGGGCAAGAGAAGTGAAAAGGAGCTGTGAAGGCAGGTCCCATGTGTCTCCCCCGCCCCATATTCACAAAAGCAGTTTCACTTTCATTTGGTTCATATTTTAAACATTGTAAAGATATTGTTTGAAGAAACAACTCCATGGCTTAAAAAACACACAAACAAAAAACACACCTTCAAACAACAAAAAAGGGAGGTGGGAAAAGAGTTTTTACTGAACTCTCTGTACAAGCCATACATTCACATTCTTTTTTTTCTCTGGCCCTCAAAGTCCCCCCCCTATGAAATGGAACAGCCTTCCTCTCCTCCATATATCTGTATCTTCCATCTTTCAAAGACCAGCTCAAATTATTTCCTTCAAAAAAGTATTCTCTTAACATCAAAATCCACAGTAAAAATAAAATTCACTTAGTACTTATTACTCCTATCATTCATTTTCCATAAAAAATTTCTGTCAATTGTATTTTAATGTCTATGTCCTATTGCCTACTGCCCATAAGTAAATAAAAAGGCCTTATCTCTCATATCTTTTCTTCCTCCCTTCAAATGAAGGCACATTAACGTTGGGCACTGCATATAAAAGTTATTTGTAATACAGTGATTCTAGATTAAAGAGTGTTTGATAAAGGCTTACAGGATAACCACACTAAAAATATATCTATATTTTTAAAAGGATTTTTTTCTGAAAGTTTGAAAAGCCTCTAGAACAGAAGTTATGCACTGAAAATTCAGGCATGAGTAATAAAAATGCTAGAAGATTGCCTTTTATTGACAAAATAATATATTACAAATTTATTACAAATACTTTATTAAAATTTAATATATTACAAATTTAATACAAATAATTTATTATAAATTTAATACATTCTGAGGAACAAAACAAAACAGAGGCACTGATATTGTTAAAAGTTGTTTTAACAGAAAAATAAGACACCAATTTGAAGCAAAAACTAAAACTTTCATTTTGAAAATGATTCTGGTTTTCTACTAATTATTTATTCTCACTGACAATTTCTTTCACTATTTCAATAAATTATAAATTGACCTATGTTGCCCTTGCTTTTGCAGTTATAAACTGGTAGGACATTTCATATTCACAGAGAAAAGAATATGAATGGGTGGCACAAAGAGGTATGATCACAAGCACTGCTTCTCCCCATTCTGCTTCCCCTGAAACTTTATAATCTGAAGGATCAGAGTCAGCAGGCAACTAACTAATGTGTCAAACTTCCCATGAAGCACTACATTTAAAATCTCTAAATGAAGCTAATTATACTTGATATTGCCATACCATTCACTCAGTTCCCAAACATAATTCAAAGAAAAGAAATAAAAAAGGCAGCTATCCTGATCTTTTTATCTCCTTCAAGCATTTTCATGAAGAAGAAATATAAATCCTGCTGAATTAGTTATGTTTTTTCTACATTTTGTGGGAATTATAAAATGTTACCAATTATCTTTTTCCTCAGGTAGACAACTGACAGACAGTTAAATAACTGCAGTAAACAGTAGTTACTTCAAAAGGACTGAAAGCTCCTCAGAAAAAATGTTAAATATATGTTGAATGTAACATGTTTTTAAACAACTGTGTTCCTTATGTCCAGACATAAGGAACAAAAATTCTGGCCCTATCAAGTAAGTTTTCATAATCATTATATTACTCAAAAAAATTCAAAATCATATTTCTGCATACTGCAGATAAAGACTGTACTGACTTTCTTAAAACATCTTTGTGTTTATAGTCCTAAACTCTCAAGTTAAGAGGAGTAGGAAAGGAAAGGCTCGCCTAGTATCTTCATAGTCCTGGACTCTGCTAAGCCACAATGTGGTTAATCATCTTCCCTGTGTTAATTGGTTACAAATTTAATATATTCTCTCTGAGGAACACATTTAAGCAAGTGTGAGAAAAATCAATCTTTAGTTGTAAAATTTTACAAATGTTAAGTCTGAAATATAGTAAGACACCAACTTTATGTCTTGGAAGTTCCACAAAAGTGTTGCACAGTTAAGTCAGATTTCTCTGGTTTCCTGTTTCTTGCTGATAATATAAAGGGGGTGGGCTAAGGATGTCTGGAATCTCTTCGGGCACTGAGGTGACAGGACCCTAATTTTGTCACAGAAAGTCAGATCAGGAGAAAAAAAAATCTGTAAATTTTCTTTCTAATCTCAAAATGAATAAAGCATTTATGCCCTATTATTAGCCATAAACAGGTTAAAATGTGCCTAATTTAATAAGAATGAAGTGACAAAGTTAAGAAAACATTTTCTTTTGCAGGACCTATAGAATTAGTCTTGTAATTTTATAGTCTGATTTAAAATTTAAATTTCAAAATTTTGAGTCATATTGACCACTGATTTAAGATGGCAAGTTTTAATTTCTCAACAGAACTGAATTATAAACACTCAAGCCTAATTTAGGGATTTGCTAATGTTTCGTCCCTTCTGGCAACAGACAAAATTCTATTTTAGACAATAGGTGTGTATACCAAAACACAATGAAAGAGGCATCATTATTTTAAACGTTTTGTTTAGCATCTGTTACAGTTTAATTATTCATACCCAAAACAGAAAATCACCTCTTTTTTCCTTATGTTTGATCCTGCATATTATTTTCTCAAAAAACACTTGTCCCCACCCCCCCAAAAAACTTGTGTTTACATTTTTCAAGCCATCAAGTAACATACAATTCAGCAATGTCAGTGATGTGAAGGAAAGTGTCCTATACTGGTGAGCAGCAAAAACTCTATTAACAGAGGATACTATTAACTTAGTATGGAATGAAATGGGTCTACTGGAGAGGCAGCAGCCATCTCCTCTGTCCTAAAATTCACCTGCCAGTCTATGTGCTTTGGCTAATACAATGAAAACAATCCAGATAATGTTAATAACAGAGGAAACTGGGTAAGGGGCATACAAGAACTCTCTGAACTATTTTCTTGATTTTTCTGTAATCTAAAAATAGTTATAAAATAAAAAGTTTTTTAAAAATCCAGGACAGAACAGAAAGGTGAAGAGGGTTTTCATTGAGGGGGGGAATGTTAATGATCAAATGCTTGGATCCCAACTAGATCTATCATGCTACCTACTTCAAATTCTACCTCACTAAAGATTCAACACCAGTGTGGCACTAGGAAGGAAGTTTTAAAACAGCCACATCAAATAGCCTACTAATTTTTATACATTCAATAAAAAATTACTGAATGCCTCTCTGAGAAATGAGCTAGCCCATGTGGATATAAAGTCCCTGCATTTAAGAAGCTACACCTACCCTGATTACCCCAACAAACAGAAAATTACAATTTGCTGTAAGTGTCATGATGGCTGTACATAAAAGGTAACATGAGAACAGAGAAGAAGGGCATCTAATTCTGAATGGAGTTCAAGGAAAGTGTCCAAGAACCAGGCTTTTTAAAAGTGTGACCACATACATTGCAAATGATGCTCTAATTATGACTAAATAAATAAAAAAAATTTTTAAAGATTACAGTTTCTATAAATACATGAAAAGAAAACCTATCCAACTGTATATGATTTTAAAGCATATAACTATACCTTTATTTAAATTACTTATTTTAAACATATCTTAATCCTATAATGGGTTTCTTTCCCTAGATTTTTTCACATAATTTTAAGAAAAGAGTGGCCCAGAAAATTCAGTTAATCAACCTATCCTTTTCTCTGCCCCCACTAGTTTACTTACGTGTTCTATAATCTCATTGTTTACTCTCAAACAATCTTTAGGTGTTGGGCTAATCACCTACTGTTTGAGCTTACTGTTAAAGAAAGCCCCTAGAAAAGCACTAAAGGCAAGTCATTTTCTGGTGTGAGCCACAGAAATCAGCAAATTACTTACTGCCTGGCCTTCAGTAAGAAATTACCCTTTAGAATCTGGTCTTTTAAGTGTAGTGTCCATTCTCTATATAAAGTATGAAGTGGCAGAGTAATCAGAGGGAGGAAGATACTGCTTTACAATAACTCTTAAAAGAGACCTTTACAAAACAGGTACTTTGTATTATTGTAAATTTTCAAGAAACAGACACTGTAAGAGTAATTTATAAGTAACTTCAGAATATTTATACCAAAGGCCTATCTTAGATAAGAACACTATATATTAAATAAAAACTTCAAATTCATTAAAACCGTCAGCTGTAGCAGAGAACCTAACATCACGTCTGGCAGAAAGCTGATGTTCAATAAATATACTTGGAGTAAAACAACAAACACATAATTCTGGTATTCACCATCTTTATCAATATTACACAATGTAATTATTTTCTAATTCTGTACCCTTAAGGTCATTTTGATAACAAACTGAATACGGCCATTGGGGCATTATCAATTCAAAGCCACAGAGCACAAAAGTTCTGTATCTATTATTTTTAGAGTGTTCATGTAAGTTCTTCTTTTGAGAAAATTATTTGAGTTCCTCTAGCTGTAAAAAGTATCTCAGTAGAAATTTAGTTACTGTCAAGATATTCTCAGTGATTTAGCAACTTCTTCACCAGGCTGATTAAAAAGGAAACACTGAAAACTTACCATTAGAAAAAAAGGTCAGGAAGAACAGAGGTTAAAGTAGTCACTGAACAGTTACTACAGATTACAGAGTAATGATTGAACTGAGAAAACAGCCATGTTAAAACAAAGATGTACTTTGAGCTCTCCTCCCCACTCTGCTTATTGTTCAGCACTGCTCTGGAGGTACATTTCCTAATGCTTTAGAACATTTAAAATAGGCATTAAGTAAGAAAGAGATCACAGGATTTTTATACTTACTGGTAAATGTTCAAGTAATGAAGTTACACTCTCAGACACATATATTATGCTTCCATCTGTCATGATTGCTAAAAAAAAACCATCAAGAGCCTGAAATTAAATATAATGGTCAGTTAAATGAAAAGAAAAAAGTGTTTCATAGCACAGAAATAAAAATCTAACTTACTAAATGACAAAGGATGTAATGTGGAAATTTCCAGAGCACTATCAAAATGCTAGCTTTTCCCCTTCACAATACCATAGAAAAATATAGATCTGTGCATTCTTTAAATGCTTTTGGAGAAAAAAAAAATCACTCTATGGCTATCTACTGGAAATTGGTTTCTAAAATATAGACAATAGTCTACCTTTATTCACATATTGCATACAGATGGCCTTATTTGAAGATGCTGGTACCTCTGAAGCACACAAAAGAATACATTATCACCTTTTGTATGTATCAACAGAGAGGCATACAAATTGTAGGGAGATAAATGAGGAATAAAGTGAAAGGGAAATAAAGCTGAAAAAACAGGCTGAGATCAGGTCACGAAAGGCTTTGAAATACCAGGTTAAGACATAAGGACTTTGTTCAAGAGTAGTCTGGAAGCAGTGTGTAAAATGGATTTAGAGGGGAAAGAATAATTAAGTTAGAAAAACCTCAGTGGCTTTTGGAATAGTCAGGGAAGTTAATGAGAACCTGAATAAAATTAGGAGTGGTAAGAACAGAGAAGAACTTAGACAAGCATCAAGAAATGTGAAGTCACAGTTCAGAAGAGAAGCCAGTGCAGGGGATACAATACGAAATAATAAAGCAATCTTCTACTTTATATATTATAAAGTATTTTCATTTGAGAATCTTAGACATAGAAGTGACAAACGAAGAAATGAGATCTGCAGATCTGCATGGAAGACAAATCCTTGGAGGAATTATCTACATGTGGGGATATGAAGGACAAGTACCTGAGAAAATGACAGAAAAAATCGAATACACTGTCAACAAGAAAGTCAACAGAAGAGAATATGACAAAGTGAGTGAGAAGGAAGAGGGATGGTTCAGTGTAAAATGAGATCAAATTCGGTAACTTTCAAGAGATGTCAATAGGAAGACCGGTCAGACTACAATGAATTTAGAGATGATTGGATGATCAGAAGGCATTTATAAACCACTCTACCAAAAACTTTAGAACGGAAAAAAGGAGAGATGAAAGTTTTAAGGGAACCAAGTATCAAAGGAAGGCAATAAAATAAAGTAACTGATATATATTTGCAAGCTCAGGGAAAGAAAAATCCAGTGTAAAAGATGTTGAAGATATACAGCAGAAAAAATACCAAGAGGAGTTCCTCTTCTATCAAAACAGTTAACACACTAAATTTGGATTTCTTATTTAATTATAGGGCTCTGTGAAAGGACAGCAATCTCTCGTAAGAACCATACATATCTTCTTCAACATTATCAGCAGCACTTAGCATGCTAGCATACCAGTAGCACATAGAAGATAAAGAATACTTGTATTTAATTTACTCGGAGTTAGAGCAACCTCCCTCTATTTCTAAGCAATGTTGAAGTATATGTTGAATGTATGAAAAAAGGCACCCCACCACCCCTCTATTGTGGGAGAGATTTAGATATTAAAAAACTTATTTTGGGTAGATGACTACCTTCTAAAATGGCTCAAACAAACCCATTCTTGGCTAATCTAGAAGGGGATAAAAACTTTGTAATTTATGCAAATTCATGAAATTATTTTTACAAAAACTCCTTAGTATAATAATGCCAGTGTTATTATTTCATAAGGAAAAGGGTCAAAATAATGTTATTAAGAACTAGCTTTTCTCATGTAAAGCCAGATTATATCATCTTTGAAAGCAAATTAATATTTACTATGACCTGTATTTGCTCTCAGGGTATTTGCTATGAATTAGGGTTCGGCTCTCTTGTGTAAGAGAAATGAACTGAAATCAGAACTCTTAATGATTTATTCTCACTCCTAGGACCACAGCCTGCCCTTTCATCTTTCAAAGTAGGTAAAGATTAAGTAGAGAAAAGCCTCCACTAGCATCTTGCCAAATTCTTAAGAGAAGTAAGGACCCAGGGCCCAGAATTCTTTGAGGGATGTAATTTCCCAAGCAGGTGGGTGGGTACACCAAAAACTAAAGGGGCCTTGAAGAAGAAGATCAGAGAGACATGGAAGAAGGCACAAGACAGAGAAAGACACCCTCATCCTAAGACTGAAGACTGGGAAGCCTGTCCCTCTTCCACATTGTATGAGGCAAGGGAAAGGGAAGGCTCATTAGCTAAAACTCCTTAGCTTCCTATTTGATATCTACTTGATCCACAACAAAAGGACTATGTAAACCTCTTTGCCAGTGAGTATTTAATCCAGAAGACTGGAATGGAAGTTCTACAGAAGGGGATAGAACCTCCTTGTGGATCTATATCTAAAATGAAGTTGACAGGGCACTAGCCCTTCCCTTGTAGACAGACTACCAGAGAGCTGCCAGCTTCCAAGGGAAAAAACAACACACTAAGAGATGACTTCACATAAAGATGACTTTGAAGGCCTGGGGCTGGAATGGATGCAGGGTGGAGGGGATCAATGGGGGCAAAAAGCAGACATCTGTAATATTTTCAACAACAAAGATAAAGAAAGTTAAAAAAAAAAAAAAAGAAAGAAAAAAAAATGACTTGGCACAGAGGTCAGGCTAAACTGCCCTGATTTCCTTCACTACTCTCTACCTCCCCAAAGGTTGGAAGAAATATTCCTCACAACAGAGTAAAGAGGGAGACACAGATGAAATGGAGGAATGGAGAGACAGCCAACACGTAAGTTATACATGAACTTCAAGATCTCAGCCCCAGTTCTTCCATTAATTAGCTATCTGACCTTGGAAAAGCTACAACTTCTCTGGGACTCATCCATAAAATGAAGAGGGTGAGGTGAACGATCTAATCTCTTCTACTAGCAGCTCTAACATTCCAGCTACAGCCTACATCTGAAATTCTGCTGAAAGTGGTATCTAAACTGCCTACCTATAATCTGATCAACATGATTAGCCAATAGTAACACATCTAGGTTAGTTGGACACAGACTGCAATACACACACATATTCATATACAGCCTTCAATCCTGAAATATTGTTAGAATACATATTTACTTGATAGTTGTATATTCACTAAAAATAATTTTTATTTATTTATGCTTGACATATTATAAATAAATGTAACATTTTTCAGGAATGTAATTCTAAAAGCTGTGAAGATAATCATGAGGTAATTGATTTACATATGTTTAAATTTTCTGTTGTATTTTATAAATAATGCTATAATCTCTGGAATCTTTGATTTCCTTTAATACTAAGTATATATTAAATGTGTCCTGGCATTAATAAAGATCTGTTCATTGTGAAGAAAAATTTGAAGACAAAGCTTTTCTGTTTAGCTTATTAGTAAACAGGTAGTTTACCTTCATTAAGGTTATAAATATATGAGTATGGATATTATACAACTTTATGAATTATAAGAAATGTTTTATACCGATGAAGCGGGGTAAATAGTTAATGATTACCACAGATCTTATTAAACAATTATATTGAAAATATAATCATAAAATTAAAATTAGAGTAATTAAGTGAGTTATTTCCTTTTTCTGTTATAGACATTAGCTGTGTGTACCCTTTCATAAACATAATACTTATTACCTAAAGAGATAATTTTGGACGTCAAATTATGTTTTAGAAAAAATATTTAACAAAATCTGAAACTATTTTTTGGTTTATAACTTAAATGTCTACTAGTTTAAAGAGCTAACTCCTGTTACTAAGATGTGAGATCTGTGCATGGCTAGCTTCCACTGAAAAGAAGTTTCACAGGGGCTGAGGCCCTGGGATCAGAGGCTAGTCTACCTGCAAAAAATCCCAACTGAGCTATTTACTCACTGTTACTTTGGTCAAGTTTCATATTCTCTTTGTTCCTTGATTTCCTCATCTGGCATTAAGAAAGGGATACTAATAGTGTCTCTTTCATAAGATTACTGTGAGGATTCACTGAGTTAATATGAGAAAAGTGATCAGTTACATTTCAGATTTTAAGTACAGGTTTAAATATATACAATATATTTATATTCCAAAAAATTTCCATGTTAACCTTTCCGCTGAATATTTAAAGACTTAATTAATCTAGCAATTAACTGTTCCTCATTAACATGCAAATATTCTATGTTGCTTAGACTTTAGTAACTATACAAAGACACTTGAGACATGATCATTACATATACAGGGTAGGGGCAAAAGTAGGTTTATAGTTGTTCATATGGAAAATAATACAATAACTAATAAATAATACAAGACTAAATTGTGTTTCTCATACTCACGACTGTGAACCTACTTTTGCCCCACCCTGTACACGCAACACAGATACATGCTCAAAGAATAAAACCAAGCCAGCAGTATAAGAGATGCAAATTATTTAGCAATGCTTGTATCCCCATCTCAGTGCTTTCCTCTACTCTACGTAACTTTCTGTTATACATCTACTTTTCTCATCCTTAACTGTTACTGCCAAAATATACCTGGCTCCTATTTATTTTAAGTTTTCATGGAAATTTGATATTGAACTCTGTGTACTTAGATGAAACCTGCATTATTCTATACACAGTAAGCAATTAAAAAGTTTCTACTTGAATTAAGAGTTGCCTTTCAATGTATATTTCATTTGTTTTACATTTTCAAAATACTTCATTTATTACCATTTTATGTTGTTTTTAGGCAGATTTTAATTTGTTAAAAAATACTACTGTCAAGTAGGATACATTTAATAACATTTAATATGTGATGAATAATATATATTATTCTTCATTTGAATTTTGCTAGTGTGGTCTCAGATGGAAAATTTGGTAACTACAGTTTTCTGACTTTTATTAAGCTTCTCAAAAATTCAGATAATACTGAAAAATATGAAAATTTGGCATTCCTTTACCAGACAGTACTATTTGTTTATAATATTTGCACCAATTAATTTTAATTGAAGATAATAGTTTATTGATTTACAGTGAATTAAAACTTTTCAACAATTAAATTAATATTGTTAAAACTATACTAAGATTAGTCACCCCTGTGATTTATTTTTTGAGAAAAATAAAACTTTTCAAAAATTAAATCTGGACATACCTCTAACATTAATTGTGTAAACTCTTCATTACTAAGGAATGTAGGTTTCCAGTCCTGTCGAATCTCACTAGCATCTGACTGTGCAGTGATTTCTGTAAACAGATTATTTGACACATTAGTGGCATACTCCAACTACAGGGTGTGCACTGGGGCAGTACAGAACTCCTACAGGTTTCCCTCTCTCCCCACTCTAAAGTGAGAACTGTAGACAGTAACATTTACTGGTCTAGGTAGGTATCAGGAGGTCAAAGTTTTGGAATGATGAAATATTTGAGCTACTATGGCAAGTTATCTACTTTTGGTCTTTGGTCTCTTGGAGGTACCAGTCTGGTTTTTCTCTGGGGAGCTGTGGAAGCCTGTGTTGCTTCCTGCTTGACACAATGCCCGAACAGGACTCAGAATAAGCAGACAGAGCAAGCATTAGGAAGATTCTTTCTCCCCTTCCTTTCCTTGCCATTCAAGTGGTAGAACCTCGAGCAGATATAAGGACCTGAGCCTGCAGGAAAACAGCCAAGGAGATCAGTAAGTCTGCTCTTAACAAAGAGGACTTTTGGCCAGTCTACTGCTAAGCAGAAAGATTGCTCCCAATCTGAGGTGTTCTATTCTTAATTAATCAAGGAAACTAAATTAAGATTCGGGGTAAAAACTTGACAATAATCATCCCAGAGTGATTTTGCTTAGTGTCCCCCTGCATGTTTTCTTAGTGGTAGGGAGCTGGTTAAAAATTTGGAAATTCCTGGATTTGGACACTATTTTAATAAAATTACTAGTTTATTTTGCAAAATACTACTTACTAATGACTTAAATTATGAGAAAGCTATTCATAAATGGTGAAACATGAACTACTTAGGTAACAGATGTTTTTCCATTTTTAAATGCAGACACTTAAAAAACCAAGCAAAATAAAAAATCTATGTCATAAATTTTACTCTACAAAATATACTCTAGTTTGCAGTGGAAAGTATGGACTAGGTTGTTTAGATTTTCTATGACCAGATATATAAATTAACATATTAAATTGTCACCCAAAATCTGCCATATTAAAATTGCTTATACTAGAATATGAAGAGTAACTAAAAAGTCTAGGTACTAATTCTGTGGAATATAGTCATACCTTTTCAAATTCACATCAATTATAAACATTCAGAAAAAAAAGAGTTAAATGCATAAGCAAAACCCATCAAGTTCAGTTAAGCACAGGTTTACTTTAGAAGTAATAATTATATAAGAATTTCCTTCCAATTTCAGGTAAATTTTATTTTTGTGAGAATTTTATACCCAATTTTGAAAAAAACAAAAACCTGATCTACTTAATGCCAAAATTAACCCTCTACTGTCAGAGGATGCATATTATATCATTTCATTCAACAATCATTTATTGAATTACAATGTCTGAGGGGCCTAGTATGCTATCTAATATGGGACACTGAGGTAACAAGAATACTATTTGTAGAGGCAAAATGTAATGACAATGGTGGCAATAAAAATGAAGACAATTTTGACACATTTATAGAAGAATCAAGATAATTTGGCAACTGTGATAAAATACTAAGGAAGCTGAAAAAAATGCAAGTCTTTTCCAGTTTGAGTCCTGGGGGAATGAAAGGATGATGGTGTAAAAACAGAAAATCAGCCGGGCTGGTGTGGCTCAGTAGTTGAATGTCGACCTATGATCCCGGAGATCGAGGTTCAATTCCCAGTCAGGGCATGTGCCCAGATTTCAGGCTCAATCCCCAGTGGAGGGCGTGCAGGAGGCAGTCAATCAATGACACTCTCATCATTGATGTCTCTCTCTCTCTCTCTCTCTGTCTCTCTCTCTCCCCCCCCCCC